TCCATATTTCCAAGATATATATTTTTCTCGACAGATGCTGAGCATTGTAAGCTTTTTACTTTTCCAAACAATCAACACCAGAGCAGAAGAATCACTACAAGCTTTCTTCAAAACCGAGCACAACTCTGTTCTATTTGATGAAACTCCTATTTCTGAAAAACGATCCGATTCACTGATATCCTGTTCGCATCGCTGTACCAGAGACAAACGTTGTAAGAGTGCTAACTTCGTAAAAAGCGACAAGACGTGTTCTCTGCTGGACAAAACACGGGCAACCCATCCAGGACGCTTTCTGAAGCAAGCTAACGTAATTCATCTGGAAAAGGTATTTTACACCTAATTTTAACAACTTTTAATTTGCGTTGTAAATGCAGGCAAACTAACCCAATTTAAACAGTTTGTACTGAATTTGGAAGTAAGGTGACGTTCGTAAAATAATAAGGAAAAAAATTGAATCACCGAAGAATACCGAAAATTTCCGAAGATATGTGTTAACTGTTTCTCAAAAAAATAAAAAATAAAGCCTGCTCGCTCTGGAAGGCAAACGTTGCTAGAGGTTGCTCATACCACAATAAGCTACTCAAAACGTATTATTGTTATTAGAATAATTTTGTTAAATGATATACACTTAACGGCACAAATTTTACATTTAAATATTTCACTATAAATTAAGTAGAAATTAGTAAACAGGCACCAGTTGCTCCATTAATATGATCTCTTTTATCTTTTCGCAGGTAAATTCGGACCTTGCCGGTAAGTCAATTGAGATTTTTGTTTATGATTTACAGTTTATATTCTATATAGAACCTATTTTTGGGTAAGTACGTAAACATACTGTAAAACCTTAGTTTCACAGAAAATGGAACATGTGTAATTAGAGAACAACATATATAACCAAGAGTTAAAAGCGAATAAGCCGTTAGCAAGAGATGTGAATTTTCCATTCCTTATTTACTTGGCAAACGTTTTGAAACATTCACGTAGGTTCCATACAACAGCTGGCTGTTCCCTCGTGCCAGGCCCTTTCCTCAGACACCCATCCCAGCGGCATATATTGGGTTGACCTGGATGGTGGATCCCATGCCAACGCGTTTAAGGTGTACTGTGAGATGGAAACTGATGGAGGAGGCTGGACCCTAGTCTGGAGTTACACGTTTACTGACTACGAACATTTTTTGGCGCCAGAAAACGCGGTTACACCCAGACCTAACTGGCCAGCTACCAGTGATGCAAATGTACCAGTTTCTACTACCACGCCATTGGAAGAAACCGACTACAACGCGATTGACTTCCAGTTATGGCGGCAATTTGGACGAGAAATCCTGATCAAAAGCAACATCAACAATTGGCTGGTTTGTTCACCCGACACAGGAAGTTTGGTTGAATGGCAGGATGGAAACGTCATTTGTAAGATTGCTAAGCGCGTGACTGACACGTGTGCAGGTACGTCGCCGCCTACATATCTGAAAGCTGCTCAATGCGGATTCAAGTTGAAGGGATCCGGAGAACAGGCAGCTGGATCAATGTATTATTACTTTGACGGTTGCACAAAAAAGCATTCAACCGTCCATGATCCCTGTGGAAAAAACAGTGACAATGGTCTGAAAATGTGGAAAATCCTCATGGGAATATTTTCGTTCGCTGAATATTGTGGCTAAGCTAAAGGTCATAGTTGATTTAGCAAGGTAGTTTCGGTTTCGCTAGATTAGCTTTGCCATTATTGTATGGGACTATGTTACAGTGAAGATGACGCTACCGTTGCCACTCAACAAAGTTTTTGATTAATTTTTGATATCTTTTTGACAACTTTTTGACGACTTTCGGATGGGTTCCGTTTGACTTGACCGCGGTCAAAATCCAAGGAGTGTTGGAGGCGTAGTCGTGAAATTTGAATGGTTTTAGTTTCGAGTCTAGTTCAAATTTGGCGCCACAAAACGGAACCCATCAAAGTTGTCAAAAAGATGTCAAAAATTAATCAAAAACTTTGTCGAGTAGCAACGGTAGCGTCATCTTCACTGTAATTGGTTAGTTTCTGATTTTGAATTCTCACAGTCATTAATAATTCACAGCTGAATTCATCAAGTTATAACAAAGGAAACAATTTAGTTTTTGTTTCGATCAAGAAATGATCAAATAATCGATACAGTGTTTCATCCGATTTCCAAACACCTCAAAGTTCGTCAAAACAACAATCCGCTATGCGTGGTAAAGTGAACTCTCTCTAAGACGGACACCATCGGGACCGGCACAAAATGTCCGTCTTAGAGAGTTGTCCGCTTATAGAGAGTTTAGATACAGTAGCATGACTTAAAAATGGCGTGCAGGGACCAACACCAAGTGTCCGTCTTACAGAGGTGTTCGTCTTACAGAGGTGTCCGTTAAGAGAGAGTTGACTGTATTTTCCATTCTAACCTCGGTGATTGGAAATCGGATGAAACACTGAATCTCATAAGATAAGATAAGATAAGATAAGATAAGATAAGATAAGATAAGATAAGATAAGATAAGATAAGATAAGATAAGATAGATAAGATAAGATAAGATAAGATAAGATAAGATAAGATAAGATAAGATAAGATAAGATAAGATAAGATAAGATAAGATAAGATAAAGATAAGATAAGATAAGATAAGATAAGATAAGATAAGATAAGATAAGATAAGATAAGATAGATAAGATAAGATAAGATAAGATAAGATAAGATAAGATAAGATAAGATAAGATAAGATAAGATAAGATAAGTTAAGTTAAAAGAAAAGAAAAGAAAAGAAAAGATAGATAAGAAAAGAAAAGAAAAGAAAAGAAAAAGAAAAGAAAAGAAAAGAAAAGATAAGATAAGATAAGATAAGATAAGATAAGATAAGATAAGATAAGATAAGATAAGATAGATAAGATAAGATAAGATAAGATAAGATAAGATAAGATAAGATAAGATAAGATAAGATAAGATAAGATAAGATAAGATAAGATAAGATAAGATAAGATAAGATAAGATAAGATAAGATAAGATAAGATAAGATAAGATAAGATAAGATAAGATAGATAAGATAAGATAAGATAAGATAAGATAAGATAAGATAAGATAAGATAAGATAAGATAAGATAAGATAAGATAAGATAGATAAGATACGATAAGATAAGATAAGATAAGATAAGATAATATAATATACTTTATTTACCCACGTATCACTCAGGAGCTAAAATAAGCTTTGATGTATTATGTCAACAAGTGGCAATAAAACTGTGGACTGGGCTTTTAATGTCTTGCATGAATGATTTCTATATATCTGAAATTTTCTAAAAGTTAGTGCTGAGATTTTTGTGGTGCACCAAACATTATTCCCTAGTTGATAAGTTTTTATATTCTCAATCCTTTTCTACTTGGCATTGTATTGATATTGCAAGGAGAGATAAGATGTTGATCACTTTTGGGAGTTACTGAAAAGATTGAAAAGGTTTTCACTGTTGTTACTAATAAAAGAGACTTAAAAACATGTAGTTTGCGTTATTTGATATAAATCCTTTACTATTACAACTGCATTATAACACCTCTTTTTTCTAAGTGGGGGAGGGGGGGGGGGGGGGGGGGGGGGGGGGTAGGCAACTGCCATATAAAAGATAAGTGTCGGGGATGCTCGTCGGAAGCTTAAGTTTCCAGAAGGATTCCAAAATCCATATCTGTCGGCGTGTTCTTTTCAAATTGTGTTCGAAAAATTACATGAAATATAACTTTTGTGCAATTATAGTAATAGAACAAGGAAGGTTCTACTAATTTAAAACAATTAGACTGCTCGCTTTGCTCCTTCGCTGCAAGCGATCGTCAACTCGGCTACTCGCCTCTTTGACTATAGAGCGTTTTCACATGACGCCACGCCGTTCATATTGGTTGGTGTTCCCAAATATTTAAATTTCACTCTTTTGGGAAATGAGTTCTTTTCTTATGCTAACACTCTCTATTGTTTGGGACACCAACATGGCGTTCATTAGCACGTAGTATTAATTTTAAATGGAAACACGGAAAAGCGCTTGAAAAGGATATTTTTGAAGAAATTGTTCTCCTTCTGCACTTAACTCTCTAAACCATATTCATGCAAGAGCAGCTCGTATTGTGAATAGCCTTAACCTTAATCCAACGATGGCAGATGACACATGTTTCATGAAATCCGATTGGCTGCCCATCTCTTACTTCTATAAAAAATCCGTACTGTTACTTATGCACAAAGTATATTATGAAACAACGACCCAATCAATATGTGAACTGTTTTCTAAAAGAGTAACTTCTAGATCTTCTCGTATTCCTAACCAATTAAACATCATTAGATTTAAATCAGAGACTGGCAGAAACACCCTACAATACAGAGGTCCTGTAATCTGGAATTTTGTAAATAGATTAGTTAAAGTACCAGAAAATTCTTATTCTTTTAAACAAATTTTACGCAAACATGTTAAAATTATTGACAATTTCTTATTTGATAAAGGGGCAACAGTAGTTGCTAACAAAAATGATGATTTTATATATTTTTAAATTTAAATTTATTATTTGATGATATATGTCAATTTCTTTTCTTTTTATATTAATATTAGTAAATTCCGACTTATTTGTATATACTTGTTCTAAATTTATAAATGTAATTTTTACAAATGTAATTCCTAATTTTTAGTATAGTAGGTCCACATCAGCCCTTTGGCTGCCTTTTTCACAACCTACTTATCAAACAAAGTATGTATGTATGTATGTAAGAAAATAAAACTACATTTAGTTCTCGTTTCTTTATAGCAAACTTGTGAAAGTTTTTGGAGTCACCATAGTTAATAGAGGGAAATGGTTATGAACCCCGGCAAACTTCAAAGAAGCAAACAAAAATGCCAAGAATTATGTTGTTTTGCACTCACACACTATAGTTGAATTAAGTAACCAACACGTTTCTATTAATAAAGGTAAATTTAAGCTCGTTCGTACTGTAGTAACTGTATTCAGTTTGTCACAATTGTGGGACTGATTGAGCCGGTCCCCGACGGGATTTGAGCCCATGACCTTCCGTACACCGGTCGGATGCTCTAACCACTGCATGAGCTACGGAGTATCTCCAGGGGCACCCAAGGGATCGTTTCGGTAGAATATCTGTTCGGAAGGCCTATAATCGCCTCAGATATTCGGATTAAAGTTTGGAGTTTTCTTTAGGGAAATATTATCTGACTCGAACTTTCTTAATATGGGAAATTAATGCCTAAAAAATTTCGTTTTGGGTACAAAAAAAGGTCAGCTAGGATTTTCGGAAAGGAAAAAGGTCAGCTAGGATTTTCGGAAAGAAAAAATCAGCAAGGAATTCGAAGAGCTGAGGTTTTCGGGAAATGACTATAAAAGCCCTAATAAATTCGTGAAGTCTAAAGTTCCCCTAGAATGACCGAACAGATATAAATTTTATAGCGCAACTTAGAAATCATTTATAGATCTTTAAAAGCATACATGTACCAGACAGCCTAAAATAGTGTTTTAGGCATTTGGGAGAAAACCATCGTTGGGTGCCCGTGTATCTCATGTGGTGAGCGGTAATATATTAGGTTCATATGTGACACGCGTCAGGCTGCATACTGCTAGGATCAGCAACGTCGAAGGCGTCATGTGCAGTAATAAATGTTTATATTAGTCAGCTACTCGGACACAACTCAAAACCTATTGTGTTATGTGCACGGTCAAGGCCAAAAAAAGCGAACAAAAACATGGAACAAAGAACTTTGTTGGGCTTCATAACCATTTCCATTTATCAACATCGAGGTCACGGGGGAAATTTTCGCTACATATCTGCATGAGGTAATATCCGTGTGTAAAAAACATTTAGAACACACGGTACGCTTTGAGTGTGTGTTTACACGGACAAACAGTGATAAATAAAGAACAAACTTTAATTACAACGAAATATTCATTTCATATGCACTTTATAAACATAACGCGGTAAAGCTCCAAATGAAGTTTAATTTTCATGATTAATTTGTTTTACTCGCAAATTCTCGCAAACAGAGAAATTCTCAATAATTCTCAGTAATTTTTGAAACCTTTCTTGGCTCCCGAAAATTCCCGAGAATTCCCAAGAATTTCCGAGACCTGTTTCGACTGAAAATAGCACATGGCCAATTTCAAACACAGGGACATATTGCCGAATATGTTTTGAGACGCAACCATTAGCAATTAATAGGTTGTTATTTTATGCAGTGTTCAAACCCGGTTGAAACACGTCCAAGGTTTTCGTACATCGATCAATATTCCTGTCAAAACCGGGTTTTATATGTTATTTCATGTCCAAACGAAGCCAACGAACCTCCAAAATGCTATGTACCTTGAGGGTAATAATTGCAATAAAAATACACACTTGTCATTATAAAATGTCGATATTTCATGAGTAATGACAAGAAAGTATTAGAAAGAAAAGCAATCTGTCAAAATCGATTGAAGTACTATTGTTTTCATTGCACGACAGTAAATTTCCATTTGGCATTTCACATCGGAGTGAAAACTTTGATGTCTTCACTTAGCGTCATACCCGTCGCCACGTACACGTTTAACTCGGCTTTTCCACAAGAAAATCGTAAGTACTCCTGTCAAAACTCAACCAAATGATGCATTAAACTTTTAAATATTCATAAATAGGTACATTAGTTCTTACTAAATACGGATTTTTTTTTTCGTTCTTTTTCGTAGATGTTGCGGTGCACATTTCTCATCATTTTTTCCTTAACGGCAAAGATTAAGGCAGAAGAGCCAGGCGTTTACTTTAAAATCGAAGAAAACTCTTTTCTATCTGATGAAAATACTATTTGGAATGGAAAGGTCGACTCTTTAATGTCCTGTTCACAAATATGTGCGAGGCGAGCCGCTTGTAAAAGTGCAAATTTTATGGCAAAGCAAGGAACCTGCTCACTTCTCAGCGCAGGACAAACAGAGCAGGCAGAAAAGCTTTTAAAATGGGAAGGTTCTTTCTATTTGGAAAAGGTTTGTTATCAGTGCATTTGCAGGGTTCCTAGACTATTTTTCTTTAATATGCAGACTATTGTGTTTAATGTTTCGCTATTGAGTAGAAGGAAATTAATCAATACCGGATATTCTACAAATTTACATTTAATGGGAGTTTAAAAGCTATGTTCCATGTCTATAACTTAGTTTCCAGCCTTTTTGTGCTTCTTATATTACTTTTTTAATTAAAAAAAAAAGGTTTTTCTTGTCGTTAAATCGCCTGGTTTAAAGACGAAATTTCCAATGAATATTAATAATAACATCAGGCTATAATAAGGCGGGTAAACATTACTACAATAAATAAATTGTCATTATGAAAAAGATGAGCGAAAGAAAGGTAAATTTCAAGTTTTAATTAATTGAATGTACCTCTGCAGGTCGTAAACTTCAACACTGACATCATCATTTTCACAACAACGAAATAATTATACAGTTTACCTGAATTAATTTGGATAAAAAAAGTAGCTCACCTTATAAATAATTATTAGCTAATATATTAAAAGGAAAGTCTTGTAAAAAATGGTTCTATTTACACTTTTTTTCGTCACGACGTCATTTGTAATTACGATGATGCTTATGCCAAATCATTATTTTAAATAGGTTGGCTCGCCGGGGGACTCCAGTTCACAGGGTACGTTATGCAGTTATGAGCCATTAGTATTATTGGTAGTTAATTTTTGGATGCAAACTGCTTTTATTACTAGGGGTTCCATATTGGAAGTGAAGTGCTGCCACATTTGTAATCCTTAAGTGATTTTCATTATCATCGTTGGTTTGGGCTTCTTGTAGTTATCGTGGTCCATATCTTTGAAGGGATACCGTACCACTGATATATACGTGAAACTTATAAAGATCAAAAGTTGTTGGGGATTTGTTTAAAATTAAAGAGAACGTGGTTTTGTAGCAGGCTTAATTGTTTATAAATAGGCTATAGACCCAAAGGTCAGTTCGTATTGTACGCTAGAAACAAGGCGGCTTGGTAAAAAAAACAAGGTCACGCAAGACCCTTTCGTGCACGCAACTCAATCGATAACAAAGGCATAACTTGGTATCAGTTACGGAGTACTACCAAAGCACTTACCAATGCAGGCTTGTTTATAACAGTTCATGCGTGCAAAACAACAATAGAAATAGTCGTCACCAATCAGTCTTTTCACGCGGAGGGGACTGGGTCCTGCTAACAAACATCCACCTTCCAGAAATCCGGAAATCCAGAAATCAAGTCTCAGTATTTTATTAATTGTTGGTCATAAATGTGTAATGCTCTGATAAAGGACATTCTTTATGTAGGTACCACCCAATCTACAGCAGTCCCCTCGTGCCAGACTCTCTGCAGTCAATCTCCTCTTCCTTCCTCGGGTGTTTATTGGATTGATCCAGACGGTGGATCCCAGGCCAACGCGTTCAAGGCTTACTGTGACATGCAAACCGAAGGAGGAGGCTGGACTCTAGTGTGGAGCTACACATTCACTAATTATAAGAATTTCACAGCTAAATCAAACGCAATCACACCAAGACCAAATTGGCAAGTGAATTCTAACGTAAATGTTCCCATATCGACAGCTCCTCCATTGAATGAAACAGACTACAACGCCATGAACTTCTCGCAGTGGAAACAACTCGGCAGACAGGTCCTCATCAAGAGCAACATTAACAATTGGTTGGTATGTCATCCGGGAACTGGAAGTTTGGTTGATTGGCAGGAAGGGGACGTCAGCTGTCAAATCGTTACACACGTGACTGACACGTGTAAGGATAGGTCGGCGCCTTCCATATTTTCACCGAATAAAGGCTTTGGACCGATGTTCTACACAAGTGGATACTCCAATAGCACGTACTATTATTTTGATGGTTACACAGGTAATAACTGGCCTACACACGATCCTTGTGGAGAAAACCAAGGAAATCATTTGAAAAATGTGGTTAGCCCACATGGAAACATTTTTATTCGAGCCTAACTGAGATGTTAAACTTCCAGATACAAACTGAATCATAGTACAAAGGGAAATGCTGTCTAAACTCAACTTCCAGCAATCAATACTGAATGTAACCTATCAAACACAAGAGATAGTGTTTCATCCGATTTCCAAACACAGAAGAGAGTTGAAATACGACGCATAGCGGGGTATTTTTGATGAAATTCGAGCTCGAATATTAGTATATCGTCTCAATCGAAACCGAAAACTAAGAAGTAAACGGATAAATAAAATCGTAAAAAATCTATGCAAAGAATGATTTCCTTTGAGTTTGAAAAAGGAATATATAGTTCACTACAGAGCAACTTCATTTGAGCATTTCTGTTTTGATTTCTTTTGGGAAATGAGTTATTTTCTTATGCTAAAACTCTTTATTGTTTGGGACGCGAATGGGCCTTTATCACAGGCGGCCATGTTGGTAAAAACAATAGCTTTTCATTCCCCAAGGTCCCCCAAGCCTCGCATTCAGACGTTTCACAACGAGTTCACGCGGGGTCAAAGGTTTTAATCCTCTGGGATTTAAGATGGCCGCCTCGTGATTAAGGTCCATATGGCCACGGCGAAGACGCTGTTGCTCCATCCGTTCATTAGCACGTCGTATTAATTTTAAATGGAAACACGGAAAAGCGCTCAGTTGAAAATGATATTTTTGAAGAAAATGAAACTACATTTAGTCCTCGTTTCGCTATATATCTGCATGAGGTAATATCCGTGTGTAAAAAACATTTAGAACATACGGTGCGGTTTTGAGTGCGTGTTGACACTGATAAATAAAGAACAAACTTTAATTACAACGAAATATTCATTTCATACGCACTTTATACGCGGTAAAGGTCCAAATGAAGTTTAATTTTAATGATTAATTTGCTTTAAAACGAACGCCATTACTCGCACGAAAGATGCAGGAGAATTCTCGCAAACAGAGAAATTCTCAATAATTCTCAGTAATTTTTGAAACCTTTGTTGGCTCCCGAAAATTCCCGAGAATTCCCAAGACCTGTTTCGACTGAAAATAGCACGTGGTCAATCTCAAACACAGGAACATATGCCGAATATGTTTTGAGACGCATCCATTAGCAATTAATAGGTTTTTATTTTATGTTGTTCAAACCCGGTTGAAACACGTCTAAGGTTTTCGTACATCGATCAATATTCCTGTCAAAACCAGTTTTTTATAAGCAGTTTCATGTCCAAACGAAGCCAACAAACCTCCAAAACGGTATGTACCTTGAGGGTAATAATTGCAATAAAAATACACACTTGTCATTATAAAATGTCGATATTTCATGAGTAATGACAAGAAAGTATTAGAAAGAAAAGCAATCTGTCAAAATCGATTGAAGTACTATTGTTTTCATTGCACGACAGTAAATTTCCATTTGGCATTTCACATCGGATGAAAACTTTTGATGTCTTCACTTAGCGTCATACCTGTCTCCACGTACTCGTTTAACTCAGGCTTTTCCACAAGAAAATCGTAAGTAATCCTGTCAAAACTCAACCAAATGATGCATTAAACTTTTAAATATTCATAAATAGGTACATTAGTTCTTACTAAATACGGATTTTTTTTTTTCGTTCTTTTTCGTAGATGTTGCGGTGCACATTTCTCATCATTTTTTCCTTAACGGCAAAGATTAAGGCAGAAGAGCCAGGCGTTTACTTTAAAATCGAAGAAAACTCTTTTCTATCTGATGAAAATACTATTTGGAATGGAAAAGGTCGACTCTTTAATGTCCTGTTCACAAATATGTGCGAGACAACGCGCTTGTAAAAGTGCAAATTTTATGGCAAAGCAAGGAACCTGCTCACTTCTCAGCGCAGGACAAACAGAGCAGGCAGAAAAGCTTTTAAAATGGGAAGGTTCTTTCTATTTGGAAAAGGTTTGTTATCAGTGCATTTGCAGGGTTCCTAGATTATTGTTATTTAATATGCAGACTATTATGTTTGATGTTTTGCTCTTGAGTAGAAGGAAATTAATCAATGCCGGATATTCTACAAATTTACATTAAATTGGAGTTTAAAAGCTATTAGTTGTCGTTTGACTTATAATGTTCCATGTCTATAAATTAGTTTCCAGCCTTTTTTGTGCTTCTTTAATATTACTTTTTTAATTAAAAAAAAATGTTTTTCTTGTCGTTGAATCGTCTCGTTAGAGACGAAATTTCCAATGAATATTAACCCTTTCACTCCCAAGAGTGCTAAGTTCAAAACTGAATAAAAAATCTCTAATTTCATTTTGCACAAATTGTCAACAACAAACAGTACCACATAAAAGTACTGCTCAATAGCTTTCATCTGAATGGTCACACACTAGGGTTTCATCCACAAACTCCAAACGTACAACCGCGTTTGAATCGAGGTTTGACTCTGGGAGTGAAAGGGTTAATAACATCAGGCTATAATAAGGCGACCATGGGTAAACATTACTACAACAAATAAATTGTCATTATGAAAAAGATGAACGAAAGAAAGGTAAATTGCAATGCCAAAATATTTCAGAACAATCTAGTTTCAAGTTTAATTAAATTGAAGGTTGTCGTAAACGTCAACACTGACGTAATAATTTTCACAACAACGAAATATACCGTTTACTAATTAATTGGATAAAAAAAAGTAGCTCACCTTATAAATAATTATTAGCTAACGTATTCATCTTGCAAAAAATGGATCTATTTACATTTTTTATAGCCACGTCATTTATTATGATGATTATGTCAATCATAAATAATTATTATATATTCACTTTCTAGGTTGGCTCGCCCGGGGTCTCCAATACACAGGGTAAGTGATGCAGTCTTAAATGAGCCATTTTTGGAATGCATTACCCCCATACGGCTTTTATTATTAGGATGCAACCTGCAATATTTGACAAGTACGCTCCCATCATAATGAGGAAAATTACTTTGTGCGTACTCGTTTGGAATGATTTATTGTAGACGTCAGGAAAAATGAACTTTTAATTATTTTAAAGTGCCTATAACTTTTTGTTGTTGTTCCAAAAATTCTATACATTTTTCTGAGTAGAATGCCGGAAAAAATTTTTTTGGGTTGAAACCGCGATTTTTTTTATGAATTTTCAAAGTTTGGGAAAATCGCATTAATTAAAAACATAACCGAGCAGCAGAACCATAGTGAGAGTACTGGATATAGCACAATTTGTGACGTAATTACCGGACATCAATCGCACGTATCGCTCGAGAGCTACCAGCTTTCTAGAGTCAGTCGTTGAAAGTTGCTCGTACTGTATAAGATCGTTAACGTTTCACGGTTGCCCCTTTTGTTATACAACAAAGGAGCTATTACACAACAAAATGGCAGCGCGAGGGAATTTTAATAACCCCAAAAAGTTAGATATTTGTATCCAGTGTTTCTGTACACTTGACATTTTTTCCAGTTTTGACAATACTTCCAACACTTTATCATTTTGTTCTCACAGTGGAGGTTTCCTTTCATAATGGTAATTTGTTTATTAATATTTTGCTGATGAGTCCCACATTTTGCAATAGCAGTTTAATTCTATTTGTAAATATTGTATACATGTTGGCCATAAATGTGTAATGCTCTGATAAAGGACAATATTTATGTAGGTACCACCCAATCTACAGCAGTCCCCTCGTGCCAGACCCTCTGCAGTCAATCTCCTCTTCCTTCCTCGGGTGTTTATTGGATTGATCCAGACAATGGATCCCAGGCCAACGCGTTCAAGGCTTACTGTGACATGGAAACCTATGGAGGAGGCTGGACGCTAGTGTGGAGCTACACATTCACTAATTATAATCCGTTCAGAGATAAGTCAAACGCAATCACACCAAGACCAAATTGGCAAGTGAATTCTAACGTAAATGTTCCCATATCGACAACTCCTCCATTGAAGGAAACAGACTACAACGCCATGAACTTCTCGCAGTGGAAACAACTCGGCAGACAGGTCCTCATCAAGAGCAACATTAACAATTGGTTGGTATGTCATCCGGGAACTGGAAGTTTGGTTGATTGGCAGGAAGGGGACGTCAGCTGTCAAATCGTTAAACACGTGACTGACACGTGTAAGGATAAGTCGGCGCCTTCCAAATTTTCACCGAGTCCAGGCTATGGACCGATGTTCTACACAAGTCGATACTTCAATAGCACGTACTATTATTTTGATGGTTTCACAGGTAATCACTGGCCTACCCACGATCCTTGTGGAAAAAACCAGGGAAATCATGTGAAAAACGTGGTTAGCCCACATGGAAACATTTTTATTCGAGCCTAACTGAGAGGTTAAACTTCCATATACAAACATATATTACTGAATCATAGTACAAAGGGAAATGCTGTCTAAACTCAACTTCCAGCAATATAATGTAACCCATCAAACACAAGAGATAGTGTTTCATCTGATTTCCAAACACAGAAGAGAGTTGAAATACGACGAGTAGCGGGGTATTTTTGACGAAATTCGGGGGCAACTGCCATATAAAAGATAAAAGTGTCGGGGATCAGCTCGTCGGAAGCTTAAGTTTTCAGAAAGGTTCCAAAATCCGTATTTGTCGGCGTGCTCTTTTCAAATTATGTTGGAAAAATTACATAAAAATAACTTGTGAATTATAGAACAAGGAAGGTTTCTACAAAGTAAAAAACAATTATACTCGTTTTGCGCAGCGAGGGATCGTCAACTCGGCTACTACTCGCCTCTTTGACTATAGAGCGTTTTCACATGACGTCACGCCGTTCATATTGGTTGGTGTTCCCAAATATTAAATTTCACTCTTTTGGGAAATGAGTTCTTTTCTTATGCTAAAACTCTCTATTGTTTGGGACACCAATGGGCCTTTATCACAGGCGGCCATGTTGGTAAACAATAGCCTTTCATTCCCCAAGGTCCCCCAAGCCTCGCATTCAGACGTTTCACAACGAGTTTACGCGGAGTTTCAGATGCGGAAACAAAGGTTTTAATCCTCTGGGATTTAAGATGGCCGCCGCGTGATTAAGGTCCATATGGCCACCGCGAAGACGCTGTTGCTCCATCCGTTTATTAGCACGTAGTATTAATTTTAAAAGGAAACACGGAAGCGCGCTTGAAAAGGATATTTTTTGAAGAAAATAAAACTACATTTAGTCCTCGTTTCGAATTCTTTATAGCAAACTTGTGAAAGTTTTTGGAGTCACCATAGTTAATAGGAGTGTTCACTGTTTATCAACATTTGTTTTGTGTTGTTATTCAAACTTGCCAACCATTAAACAAAAGAACTCTTTGTTTCAACTGCCAATAGTTCTCTGGTTGGCACATTAATAACAATAGGTGACGTAACGAGACACATCGCTATAGAGGGAAATGGTTATGAACCCCGGCAAATTTTAAAGAAGCAAACAAAGACGCCAAGAATTATGTTGTTTTGCACCCACACACTATAGTTGAATTAAGTAGCCAACACGTTTCTATTAATAAATGTAAAGATGGTAAATGTTAAGCTCGTTCGTACTGTAGTAACTGTATTCAGTTTGTCACAATTGTGGGACATTGAATCCCCGACGGGATTTGAACCCATGACCGTCCGTACACCGGTCGCTCTAACCACTGTATGAGCTACGGGGTATCTCATGTAATATACTAGGTTCATATGTGACACGTGTCAGGCTGCATACTGCTAGGATCAGCAATGTCGAAGGCGTCATGTGTAGTAATAAATGTTTCAATTAGTTAGTTACTCGGACACAACTCAAAACGTATTGTGTTTTGTGCACGGTCAAGGCCAAAAAAGCGAACAAAAACATGGAACAAAGAATTTTGTTAGGCTTCATAACCATTTCCATTTATCAACATTGGAGTCACTGGGGAAATTTTCGCTTTATATCTGCATGAGGTAATATCCGTGTGTAAAAAACATTTAGAACATACGGTACGCCTGGAGTGTGTGTAGTACACTGACAAACAGTGATAAATAAAGAACAAACTTTAATTACAACGAAATATTCATTTCATACGCACTTCATAAACATAACGCGGTAAAGCTCCAAATGAAGTTTAATTTTCATGATTAATTTGCTTTAAACGAACGCCATTACTCGCACGAAATATGCCCGAGAATTCTCACAAACAGAGAAATTCTCAACAATTCTCAGTAATTTGAAAAGGTTTGTTATCAGTGCATTTGCAGGGCTCCTTATTTTTTTTATTTAATATGCAGACTATTATGTTTGATGTTTTGCCCTTGAGTAGAAGGAACTTGATCAAAGCCGGATATTCTACAAATTTACATTAAATGGGAGTTTAAGAGGCAGTCCCGCTAAGAGCGGTCCGGTCAACTTCGGGTCGGAAAAAAGTTAGCCCTTATATTTTGTGGACGAAAAGGACTTGGTAGGTAAATGTTAAAACCGGGGTATTTTGTTAAATTTCTTGCTTTTATTTTTCGCTACACGCCGAAATGTCTTCGGCCGTCCGAGGTGGGATTTTAGGCCACTCCCGAAGTCGAAATTTGCGTTTTTTCTGAGCCGCGCTGCTTCAACACAGGTAAGTATAGTTAAATATCAACCATACCACAGTATGTAGGTACATTTGACGTGCTTTGCAACACAATTTCGTCACGATTGGATAAAAATTAGATAAACCAGGCAAAATCAAAGACACCCTACCGCGTCGCTGGTCACAAGGAACCGAAATTTAACTAAAAGCAAGAGTCGAAATCTCAAAAGTGGCACCTAAACTAGGGCTAAAATGCCTTTAAAGCAAAGATGTAACCTTATTCTCACAGATTCTGAAGTTAAACCTGCGGGTATCGTCCTGTGTTGGACGCGAGCGAACGTTTTTTAGAGCTTATGTACAACAATGTTTACAACAAAAGTACAAAGGTCACGGCTAGGATGGATGGTGCCCAAACGCAAATAATCGAATAAGAATGGCATTTTAGCAGCCCACAAGTACCTTAAATATTCCGAATACCTCATGTATTTATCTTAAGTGCCCTTTACCTTGGATTTTTATCAATCTAACGGTTGACAGTGCTAAATATATGCCTGATTCCCTTCTTTGTCGATTACCAGTTCAAATTAAATTTCGCACGCGACTACATGTAATCGATTTCAGCCGACAAGCTTCACAGTAATAAAATACATTATTCTGAGTATAAAGATAGAAGTACATATTAAGCACTTATTAAAAGTCACTGGTAGAATATCCTGCTCGCTTTGCAACGGACTTTTTGGTCCAGTCAAGACAAGTAGCTTCAAGTTAATTTAGCAGGTGCCTGAAATGTTAAAATTCCAACGTCAAACTAGCTGGTACTTACTAACCTGCGATCAGGCCAATTTTTCGCGCTCCTTACATTCTCTTTACGGGTCGCACGCTAAAAATGGGCCTGACACAATCCTTCTAAAGATCATTCTCGTCCCCAGAGGCCACGATCCTTTTGGTCAGCACCAAGAATCGAGACCTCTGGCCGGAACCAATTTGTTGAACATGCGCAGAGTACTCGTTCTATATTCTCAGCCAATCAGATTTGTCAGATTTGACGGTAGTCCGCGATTCGCGGACTTCCGGTTACTCTGCGCATGCTCAACAAATTGGTTCCGGCCAGAGGTCTCGATTCTTGGTGCTGACCAAAAGGATCGTGGCCTCTGGGGACGAGAATGTCTAAAGATTGTCTGCCAATTACAAATCACGTCCAGATTTTGGACGTGATTTTAATGAATCTGATTGGCTGATTCAACAATAGACTTCGCCGGAAGTAAAAGCAACGCGCGTTGCGTGGAGAGTCAAGCGAAATCCGCCATGTTGGAAAGAGGCATTTCTTGTGTTCTTGTTCAACTTTTTTCATCAAAGGTCAATGAAATCAACCTTTTCAGGATTTTTTTTTCGGTTTTTGAGTATTTTGGGAAGTTAACAAGTCTTACAGTTACGAGGTTACGTTGGATTTTCAGTCCACGAACGACTGGAAGACTGAATTTCCGAAGAATACAGCTAAGCTTGTATGTTAGCTATTACCTACACATGTAGCTGTCTGTTATTTGGTTTTGGGTGCTTTACATGTACATGACAGCCTCTGTATTTGACCCTTGTTTCGTGGATGGAAGCCGCTACTTAGGACAAAGGACAGTAAGCAGTACGAGAATATTGTATATTTTAATGAAGTGAATTAAGCTTATTTGTTTCTGCGTGTTTAATATACTTAGTAGTATTCTTATGTAAAATTTTTCATTGAATGTATATAAGCTTATTAAGCTTTTGAAACGTACAGTGTAGAACGACTTATATAGCAAAATCGATATTTCTACACTAATAAAGTAAAGGATATATCAAGTTGTACAAAGTTATGGCTATACTGCCTTGAAAAATCCTTATTTGTTGACAGTGGTGTTGTATAAATTGTATAAACCAAATTATTAAACGACCTGAAATTTATCAAAACGTGGTTGCTGGACTTTTCACTGACTATATTAATAAGACCACTGATCAGATGAAAATTAACCAACGTAATAACAGTAATAAATTTCAATATGAAATTATAAATTCATCGGCTAGGCACTTGGGTCAACCCCCGGACAACCAGGGGGATATGTTGTAGCCTGTTCCAGGCATTCAGATAATGAGAGGCGGTACGAGTAGGCGCAAGAGCGCGAAGAGTGGGGCCAATCCCCTCGCCGCTCCCAATTATCCGAATGCCTGTAACAAGCTAGATTTGTTGGGGAATAGAAGGAGATGGATTTGATTGATTGCCCCTGGGTTGGGGAAAATACTATACTTATTGTAATATAATTATTGGGTGCATTCCATTTGACCAAAAATTCCAGTTTGAAATTCCTGAACGTTCGGACAAGCTTAAGAGGTATACCCAAATCTCTGCAACTTTTTTCTGGAATTTTGGGTTGAATGGAAAGTGTCCATGATGTTTTAAGTTCAATGAATAGGGTGGGGGAATTCACAAGTTTGTAAAATCATGGACAACGAGTCTGTGATCCGGGACATATTACCGGTATATATCAGATGAAAACCTTACTATGACTTTCACTGAAATAGTGATGACATATCAATGTAAATCAGCTGTCTCAAGATGTTATTTTGTTTGATTTACAATAAAATTTTAAAATGATCCCAGACTATTGCCTGGTCATGAATCACTGAGACAAATCCCTCTCTATTAGGAACTGTGCAATAATTATCAGGAGGGGGGGGGTTTTGGAAAATGGGCTTCGTGTAGGACAATATTAGGTAATACCCCCCTCCTAAAGGAGTGAATTTAGTTATTGCCCCCCTCTAATCAGTCAGAAATTATGTACGACCCCCCCCCCCTCCCTCACAGTATACACACACCTTTATAACAAATACCCTGCATTTTCTCTACACGCACCTGTAGATTAAAATTTTATAACAGAAAGAAGAGCTGCTACTACATGTTTAATTGTTGGACATCGCGTCTGGAACAAACACCACCTCCGTAGCAATGTACAACAGAGCCATAGCAGAAGGAAAAGAGCCTGTGTGTTATATTCGGTCCCCCACCTTATAAATAGGTATGGATTCGCCAATGTAATATGTACTTGAAATAAAATGTTAAGCCCCCCTCTCTTGAGTGACTTATTTACCTTGAGCCCCCCCCCCCCCCCCCCCCCCCATCCTTGCTTTGATTTTATTTTATGCCCCCCCTCCTGGTAATTATTGCAGCAGTCCCTTACCCCTTATATATAGGTGGATATCAGGGGGAATTTTTGTTGAGAAACATCCCCTACCACTGGGTCAAGATTAACTAAGTTTACAATTCCCCTGGTTGTCCTGGGGGTCTACCCCAGGGGCAAGCTGATGACATGTGCAATTTGCTTTCATTTCTTTTTCCAAAAAACATTTTTTTGACCATAATAAGACAGTCTTCTGCATCAACAATACTCATCATCAAAACATGTAGCAATCTCCTGTCTACCTACCTGAGAAATTAAGAATTCTCTGACCAGATATTAAATTCTCCGAATTTTCCCTGATACCATGAAAAAAAATTGCTGGCTTTTTCCCGACCTGAAAGCAACCATGCAAGAGTAGCTCAACAACTGCATATTAAGTATTTTTTGTTTTAAATCATTAGCAGTTGTCCGATCCTGTCAACCCTCATCCATAAAGTTCATGCCTCTGGGTTTTAAAAATTATGTCAGACAAGAAATTTGTGTGCAATAATATTATTACACACAAATTTCTGATACTTGGCTAAAATTCCCTAAAATCCACTGTGTGACCAAGAAAGGAATATGTTTCAAATAAAATAATTGGATTAGGAAAAGGATATTCCAAGAAATCACATTCCTTGATCAAAGTGGCATATAAACATTTAATAATTATTTTAAAATATGTTTAAAATGCTTTCCATGATTGCTTTAACAATTATCTATCGCAAAATCCGGGCGCAAAATAGTTTGTCCATTCAGTACAAGTCAATGATCTAACAATAAAATCACATCAATCTATTTATTAGTTGCTAAAAATGAAGCACATGCCATCACGTTGTAGTCGATCGCAACAGCCACAGAGTAGGTTCGATCGATCGATCGATCGATCGAAGATAAGCTTACTATTCCTTCACTTGCCGTGCTGTTTACTCACATAATATCTAATAGT